TGGAGCTTCTCCAGCATGCTGCTGACCAGATGCTGCTCTGTGAGTAGGGGACTGCAGAGACCATGGTCAGTGGTCCATTATTGGTGCTTTTAACAGATGAACATTCAGAGCTTGGGTCATTTTACACTTGCAAGAGGTTGTTTGACTTTTCAAGAGCCTTAACTTCATCCCACAGTTAGAGTGGGGTAAGAAACTCAAGCCCAGTTCAAAGCCCTCCATAGCAAAGCTACCAGAATTGCCAGGGTCTGTTGGTGGGACAAATGGCCTTTACAGCTCTGTGGACTCCTTTACTCTTTACAGCAGGTGAGAAACTGTGGAAGATTGGTGCCTTCCTCGCAAGCTGGGGGTCAGCATCAGTGGCTGCATGGAAAAGGAGAACACCAAAGCAAAGCAGGAGCCAAGCAGGTTATTGGCAGAGATGGGGTCGCGAAGGGTGGCTCTTGCAGGCTGAGGGTTTTGCTGCAGTAACTTCTGCTGCTGTTAGCAAAGGGCCAGGCCCATGGGCATGTTACAGTCACTGAGGATCTATCCAGTCTGGGTCACTGTGTGACCCCCATTTCCCCTTCCAGGTCCATTCACTGTGCCAAACAACAGCATGCAATCATCTTGTGGGGGTTATTTCTGCCTAATGTACCCACCTATTGGGATGTCAGTGAACATTAAAGAGGTAGATGGAGCCCTTAATGAAGTTAACCTGCTGAAACTACGAGAGCGTTTGGTTGAAGTACACCTGAAAGCCCTGGATTACACAGCAGCTGCTTCAAAAGAAACCCATTGCCTCCTTTCATACCGCTGCCGTATTGAGAAATAATACAGCACCTTTATATTCAGCCTAATTTAGTCAGCCTGCTGAAGTCTGAAAGCTTTCTTTTATTAACTCTGAAGATGCAGGGGCTTTCCTCCCGCAGCCGGCACCACCGACGCCCCTGCAGAGGCTGCTGCTGGAGCAGCCCCCAAGCAGCATGCCTGCGCCCCTTCTGCGACTGAGCACCTCCTGAGCCGAGCCGGCAGGAACTGCTCTCCCTCTCCCTGTTAATCTGATGATGGATTTTAACTCCATTAGTTTGCTTCCTCTGTTCTCTTCCCTGTTTTCTGCTGTTTATTCATTTCCCCTTGTTCTGCCTCTTTGTTTCTTTCATCACCTCCCTTCTCTGCTCTTTTCTTCTTTTTCCTCTTGTTTTTTTCCTCCCTTCTCCTTTCCAGGCTGCCTCAGTGCTCCCCTTGTTTTCCCTGCAGTGGTGCTGCTCCCCATCATTCCCCGCAGCCCTCCACCAGCTCCTGGCACTATGACAGGGCAGTAGTGGCCCAGGGCCCACCGTGGCCACTTAAGATCCAGACCACACTGCACTTGGGCAGCGTGAACACTGGAGTATCTGTTGCGCACCAGCAATGCTCCTCCTCTACAAATACCTGTGAGCAGGAGAGGCATGAGGAGAACACAGCTCCCTGCTGCCCTGCAGTGGGGCTGGAAAAATGGAGGGGAGGAACATGTTGGGAGGAGGTGAGCAGTAACGGGGTGGGCAGGAGTGGGGTGGGTGGGCAAGCACGGACCTGCTAGAGCATCCACTGAGCCAAAGGGGCAGTCTCTGAGCTCACCCTGCAGCCACTGCTTCCAACCACAGATTAGCAACCATGGTACTCACCATGAAAAATTAACTGGATAGCCTGCTAATTAAGCCACCTCTACACTGGAATTTTATGGACTCAAATGCAACGTGCCAAACTGCCTTCTGGAAGTTGGGGTATTGGCCTGCTTTTTGTATGGGCGAATTCCTGAGCAAACAGTCTGGCTGAAGACTAGGGCTAATGGGATGCTAAGGTAATTATTGGCTATTTGTAGCTATAAAATGAGATCTCGTAATCATGCACCTGATAGACTAATAAAAACATTTTATGTGATGCACTTAGAGCTTTCTAGCTGAGGATCTCAAAGCACTGTCTGGAGGAGGAAAACTGCAGCAAGAAAAAAAGTCTGTGCTCCTGTGTGGAGCTGGGGAAACAACTCCTGATGTCCGCCCCCATGCCCCACACTCGACTCCTCGGGTATCCTGCCAAAAATGTTTGAGTCCCGGCTCTCCTGCTGACTGACAATTCTTATGGTTTTATCTAGGCTGGGTATCATTTTTCCCCCCTCTTATTCCTAACTGTGTTTCAGTCCTGCCGTGTTGTTTTCTCTGGAAGGCTGTCAAGTTCTGCGTTGGAAATAGTGTGTTTTGACATAAATCTGAGGGAGCGACCCTGTTTGTCCAGCTCCTCTGGAGCCCAGAGAAGGTTACAGGAATAGAGGATGTCTTGGTTTTAATCTTATTTTCTTTTAAATCAGGATTGAGAAAGGCCCTAAGGAAAACCTGGGGGGTTTCCTGCTTTACAGACACCTCCTGATGGTCAGTATGTGTGGTGAGAAGGACTCATTTAGGAGAAGGAAGCTGTGATTGAAAATATATGAGTCTGTATTATCAATGTTGAAAAGGAGCTGCAATTAGAAGGAAGAGCAGGGAAAACCCTAAGTACATGGGCTCTTGGGTCAGCAGCAGGGAACTAGGCAGTGTTTGAGGAGAAGGCTTTCTGCTTGAGGGGAGGAGAGAGATGAGGGAAATTTCACTGCATCACAGCTCTGACTAACGCTTGGGCTGCAAAATTCCTTCAGCGCAAATTCAATGCAGATGGCATGTTAAATATTACAGTACCATTAAATTACATATTGTCTCATTTTCAGTGAGGTTTTGTGGATGTTTCTGACATACAGATATGGAAAAATGCTGCAGCTCCCAATGGGTTTGGCCAGTGCTTACTCATGGGTTTTTAATACCCACAGAAGGACTGAACAGAGACCAGAGCCCCAAGCCCTTTGGCAGAAGCAGCAATTCCCTGGCATGGAAAGATGATGAGGTCCAGCCTTGCAAGGGGCATGGAGCAACACCCACAGCAGCAGCAGCAGCAGCCCTGGAAACAGGCAGAGGTAAGTTCAAGGTGCATAGCATCACCTTGTGCTCAGTTCCTTCAAACCTGAGAGAGGATCGGAGTCTTTAATGCTCCCAAAAGAAGTCTTTTGGACACTTGTACCAGAGCTGGACTAGCTGTAATGCTGTCCTGAACACATGCAGTGATAGAAACTACAGTAGTACTGCTTGGTATTTTAGTTGTGCCTTTGCTTTCCTGACAGTGGTAAGTTGTGAAGAGGAGACTTGAGATCTGACACTAAACACAGGTCTGGATTTGTGGGGAGCTATTGAAAAGCAGCTGAGAGAAACCTCTGTGGAGCAGCAGGTAACTATTTCCCATCACCATTTTCTCTCCTTGGGTTATCTTCTTTTCACTCAGTAGCAGATCAGAGCTGGCATCAGCTCAAGATCATGTTTGCACTCTTCTATTGACCCTAACTAGGGGAAATTCTGGTTGAATGTAACGTGAGTAAAATTGCCCCTGAGCTGTATGGTGGGTGAGATGGGGCTGTCTCTGATTAGGGCTTGGTATCCTCTTCCTTTCCCATGCACATCTCAAGACAGGAATGATTCATGCTGTGGGCTTATATTACACTCTGATATCTGTGGTATAGTTTTCAAGGGCTAGTTATACACACAAAAAAATCACACTCTTCTAGCTTGATAGTAGTATAACTATAAGCAGGTAGTAAATAATAGTTGCATAATTCCATATCAAAATACATTAAATAAGGCAACACACCCCGTTGCCACCGGCTTTACATTGGCTTCAACAGGTGTTGAAGCAGATTTGAGACACAGAAGAGTCAAAATCAGGTATCAAAACACACAGAAGGAAGAGCATTCCTCAGAAGTGGCTGAAATACCAGATCTATTGGTCAAGCCAAAGCTGTTGCTGTCAATGAACATCCACTGGCCCCAGTGGAACTCGGCGCTTGCTTGCCGTGCGGGTGCACTCAAACAGGTTGGGATCGTGATTTCATTGACGTGAGCTGGTGGATGCTGCCCGTAACTGATAGACAGCAGAGTACAAAATAATTAGTCTCATCACCCGAAATGAATAGCAGTGAAACGTTTGTACTTTCCCTCTCCTCACCCACACAGTGATGTGTCTCACTTCTGCCACATGCCAGTATGCCTTCACTAATTACCAACTTTAAAATAAAATGAGTAATGTAGTTTTAATCTCTTTGTCTACTGTATATTTGGAAGTCGGAACCTGTGATCTAGGGACTGATCAACAACATAGTTTGGTTTTATTTGGAACCTTTTTGGTGCGGAGTTTCAGGACTCGTTTCACCTCTCAGACCGGATGGAGATGTGGGTTAGCCCCTTTTTGCCAGGTTCCACCCTTTAAGCCTATTGCCGTCTGTAAATTTAAGCGGCAAATGAACGCAAGGTGCTGGCTGTTTCAGCTCAGGCGGGGGCTTCTCACCCGCGCAGGGGCAGGGAGGGACAAACTTGCTGTGCAGTCCTGAGGTGACTGCGAATACGCTGCTCCCGGCTTGTGCATTAAAAGAGCATCCCGGCGAAAAACCGTTGGGCGCGGGGAAGCCAAATGTGGTTGCGCTCCCGAGGGGTTTTGCATTTGTCCCTTGTGGCAGCCTTGACACCACAACACGGGTGTCAGCAGCCGGGGAGCGCGTACACCCCGCTCCCGGTCCCCGGCCGAAGCACGGCGCTCCTGGGTCTCGGCCGGCAGCGGCGAAGCCCACGAGCAGGGACAATCCTTGTCCTGACGCTCCCCCATCTGACAATTTCTGGGTGTCTCCCTTCGCACAGCCCTGCTCTTTCGCAACCGCTTCAACCGGGCTTTTCGGTTCCTGCCTCCGCTGCCAGGCTCTGGGCGCCCGGGGAACGGCACTGCGGACGGGCACGGGGACAGGGACGGGCGGTACCCGGGGCTCGGCGCCGCAAAGAGAACTCACCCAACCCCGCGGAGCCGCCCCGCGGCGCCCTCCGCGTGTCCCCGCGGCTGCGGGCGGGGCGGGGCGGGGCGCGGGCGCGGGGCGGGGCGGGGGGTGCGCGGGGGGCGGTGCCGGCGCTCGGCGCTGACAGCCACATGCCGCCCTGCCTGAAAAGGCTGCGAGGCGCCGGCGGGGAGCGAGAGGAGGTGCAGACGGCGCCCCAGCCCGCACCGCCGCCGCGCCCCGGGGGATGCCGAGGCGCCGGCCCCGCGGGTCGCCCTAAGGGAGAGGAGCTTCTCCGGCACCGCCCGCCCCGCAGCCCCCTCCCGGGGAAGGCCGCCGCCCCGCGCTGAGCCCCACGCCGGAGCCGATCGCCAGTGGGGCGCCCACGCCGGGCGCGGCGCGCCCGGGGTAGGGAGGCGAAGCCCGGCCCCGCCGCCTCGGGTGTTGGTTCTGTTGGTTCTGGTTTTAATTCCTTCCGAAGGATGGATACGTTTCTTCTCGCGTGGGGATTTCTAGGGCTGTGCTTGCGCGGCTCCGGAGGCACCGCGGAGACAGGTAAGGTGCCCTCCGGGACAGGGATGTCTCCGGCCGCGCACTGGCGAGGGAGCTCTCCCGCCCGCCCAACTTTCGGGTGCCCGGGCGCACGCACCGGGGCTCTGCCTGGCGTCGGGCATTGCACCGGGAGTAGGTGAGGGACCGGCAGATTTCGCAGTACGGGTTTTGGGAGGCTGGGGGGTGTCGTGCGTGTGGCGGGGCGGGGATGGCGCAGCCCCCCCCACCCCTCAGCAGGGCGCGCAGCGGGTGTAGCCGCGCAGCTCCTGCCGCCCAGCGTGAAGGGGCGAGGGGACGGAGCCACCCTGGAAAGTTGCGTGCTGTTTTTCTTTCGGGGGTGGCACAGGGAAGTGATGGGAAGCGGTAGGGACCGGCCGCATCCCGGACACCCGCATCCGGATGCCCGCGGCCCCGTGCCGGGTTGAAACCTCTGAAAACTTTAGGTGGGAAATCATCTGGCTGGGCGCAGGCAAGCGGGAGCCGTGCAGGGCGGCGCTGGCAGCAGGCGAGGCTGGGCAGCGGTGGCGGCATTCCGGGGCAAGCCTGCCCGCGGTATGTGCGGGACCGCACTTACTTTACAAGCCCTGGTGTGTCCTGAGACCTAGCGGGTTCGTGGCAGGATTTGGGACGCGAGTGGGTTTTCCCGGTCTTCGCTGAAGAGCTAGGCTAAGCTGTTAGGAGGCGCTCCGATGAACCCCGGTGCTTGCGCTGCTTTGGCTTGGGGACTGGAGAGGGACAAGGGTGGGCTGAGGCTGGCCCTGTGCTGGCTTTGGGTTTGGCTATCGGGGGTGCGGGGTCCCCATCTGGAGGAAAAGGATATATGCCTCACTCGGCCGTCACCGCTCTCCCGGGGCTCCTTCTGCGGTCGGCAGCCCGGGAGCTGCCTGGCAGGACTGTGGTGCCAAGCCAGCAGCTGCTGAGCTGCGGGTTTCCCTTCCCGCACGTCGGTCTTGGCCTCGGGCCGTGCCTTCGGCGGCCCGCGGAGCCGCAGCGCCCTGAGCCGCGGCCTGGCCCCGCCAGCGCTAGAGGCAAGGCGCGGTGTCCGCGCTTCCCCTGCCCCTTTTCCCTCCCTGCCCCGCGGCTGCCCGGCCACCAGCTTCCCTTGGAAAGGGAAGTGGGAGAGACTCTGCCGGCTGAGAAAGTCCTCTTTTGCAGTAGAGAAGCACAGACGTTCCGGCAAACACGCTCCGGGTACATTCAGTTGCCTATTGGCATCGCCTCCTGCCTTATGGCTATAAAGGAAAGGGAAAAAAAACCAATTCCTATCTTTTGTTCAAGTAAGAAAACAAATGAATAGGCATTCGATGGGGTGAAGAGAAAGGGCGAAGTCCCGGGAGGCCCCTGCTGAGTGCTGCGGTCTCTTCGGATGAGCCCTGTTGCAGAGGCAGTGTCGGGTCTCCTGGAGTGGGTATTGTGCTGAGGCAGGTCGGGTTGGGAGCTGAGGAGGGTGCACTGGCCAGCTTGGCCACGATCCCTGTGGCTGCCAAGCCCGAGTGTATGGGTCTGCGTGCGTGCCTCCTTCCATCCAGGAGTGGGCTAAGGATCAGGATTTATAAGTGGGAAGGGGCTTATAAGCCACTTGTGTCTCCAAGGCCATTCAGTCGCTGTAAGAAATGTCCGTTTGAACACGGGGTTTTCCCGGCGAAGTAGAGCATCACATGGTGGTGGAGCCAGCAAGGAAGTTGTCTCCCTGTGGCTGACACCAGTGGCTGTTTCCCGAGATGTTGTGGTGCTGCAAACCCCGTCAAATGACTTTATTGCTAGCCTAGCGCTCAAAGGTAATGGGATGTGACCCTCAATCAGCCTATGCTTGGCTCCAGTGAATTAGCCAGCCTAGTAAGAAAAACATGCCAGAGGTAGGTGGATTTATGTTTCAGTCTGGTGTATCTGAAAGCCTTCCCCCATTATGAAAGTCCCTGTTAAGATTCCCTAAGGGAGGTTAGTAGAGAGGGGAGATGTTTTTAATAGACAATAATATGATAATCCACATGGAAAAAAACCCTGCGTGTAATATTTCTACAGTAAGAGATAAACAGTGCAGCTGCCAATTTGTATGTAGCCAAGCAAACCCTGAGATAACCATAGAGGGGAGTGGGTGGGAGACCCTGGAAGATAAATCTGAAGGCTGGCTGGCTGGCTGTGTGTTTTTCATCTTCCCGTAAAAAGCAATCAAGTAAGAAAGTAACAGATCCGAGTGACCCAAGTGCTGAGCCGTTCAGATGATGTTTATGCAGCTCCAAGCAAAGCTCACTCTTGAAGCCTTCCAAATAGTTTGCTTAAAAGCTAGTATTTTTAGTAATGACTTAAGGGATGTATCAAGGTGGGGAGGGGGATCAAAACAAATTGCTGCCAAGGAGGCGCACAGCCACACACATACAAACACGCACACGCGCACCCACGCAAGCCTGGAGTGTAGTGCCTTTTGCCCGTTCCACTGTTAACTTGGCTCTGATTGGGAACAAAAGCTTTTTTACCCTAGGAATCGGACAGTTGTCAGGTCTATCACTGCAAACGACTGATACGAGCCCACTGGGGGGCTCTGACCAAGGTTAGGGTGCTGCATTTTTGTTTTCCTAACTTCCCTGACACAGAAAAATCATGCTGTGTGGTGTCTGGAGTGACAGTCGGACACGCTGATCCCAAGGGGCTCTACAGAGGTGCTTCCTATCTCGCTGCCCTGCTCCTTCTCCCATCCAGCCCCTTTCACAATGTTTACTTGGTGTTTGGTACCTCATGTGTGGCTTTGAAGGTTAACATGCAAAAGCAACCTTCTTTGCTGGGCTGGAGAAGGCAGCGCTCCCTGTCCAAGCGGCCTGCCACTCTGGTCAGGTGGGTGGGTTGGTTTCCTAGCAGAAACCTCCAGTCCTGCTGGGTTCCAGGACATGGTGGCCTTGTATCACAGATAGCCTGAGAGGAGAAAGCATCCTTCATGTGGCTTAGGAAGCTGTCAGGTTCAGATAAGGCTGGGATCCTATCCTGTGGGACCCTCAGTTGTATTAATAAGGAAAAATTAATTTTTAAGCACTGGGATTGCTGCCAAATTATATGACCTCTGACAGACCAGCTGTGCTAGGAAAATAAATCTTCTGTATCTGAGACCCGTGATCCTATCTGAAATCGAAATAGAGAAAGTCGGCATTTAGCCACGATGGTGGGGGCAGATTGCAGCAGCCTGTGAGCAAACTGGAAGCGGCTAAACTTGCTCTCTGTTGTGGGGTGAAGTCACCACCGCGTCCCCATGGGGTCTCAGGAGTACAGTTGTCTGATCCGGGAAGTGCGGAGAGCTGATCTGCCTGTATGCGCCCAAGCTGGGGGTGATGGTGTCAGCACGGAGGTGGGGGCAGAAGCAGGGTGTGAGCATTTCCAGCTCTACCCTCCCTCTGTAACAGCCCTTTGACACGTATCTAATTATAATACACACACAGACAAAGAGGTAGCTGGGCTATTTTCAAAATCCCTGTCTACACCCTGGTGGAAACCGCAATACTAGCAACAACATAAATCAGGGCTGTTGCTAGCAGTGTTGTGCACAGCTTAGCGCTACAGTAGCATGGTTTTAATCATGCTCAGAATCAAAGGGTCAGCCTTCTCCCTGCCTGAGCCAAATCGCAATCTCGGAAGGCCAGATCCTGAGCCAGGATTGATGTCTGCGCAATAAAAAGACACAAGCGCAGACACGGCGGAGAGGTTTGTCAGCGCGAGGTCGGCAGGCACAGGGCCAAACACTCGAAATCACAACTCAGAGCTGTAACCCTTTCTATGTGCAAGCAGTGCCTGTGGATCTCACTGGGTAGGATGGCTAGGGTAATGCTGCGGGGCTGGGGCTCCAACTGCAGCCTTGGTGCCGCAGCCTCTTCCCAAACAGGTTGGGGAAAAGGGCACAAGCAGTGAGTCGGCATGCAGAACAGCCTGAAGTACTACTTTGCAGGGATGGATGGCTGCAGAGACTTTCTGTCTGAATGCTTCTCCCCCTCTCTTCATACTTGATGAGTCAAAGAAAATGGGCTCCAGAGATGAATTGCTGGGCTCTGGGTCTTTGAAACCTGTCCTGATTTATCCCCATGCATTTGAGACAAAGGCAAGACATCTGCCCCAGCTGTTCTGGTGGGTCACCCCCTAGCTGTGAAGTGCTGTCTGTGTGGGGCTTGAATGCCTGCCTATTTCTACATCTCTCCTAGGAAGATGGTGAAGTCAAAAGGACACTCTCCTTCTGCTCTGCTTACATTTTGTTGAAAGGCTCCTTTTGGACCCTGGTGCCTATGGGGTGAGGGCGGAGGAAAACTCCAACCCCCTGTGCAGGTAGACACACACGCACACACTTACCTCCCTGGTTTCTCCTCTCTCTTCACAAGCACACAAATCTCTACCTTTTCTCTCACGGAGCCCCTCCAGACACCCCACCTTTGCTGCCTGCCACATGGACACTCCTACATCCTTCCCTTCCCTGTGCTCTCCCTCGCCCACCCAGAGCCCCTTGGCAACTTTCTCCCCCTTGCACACCCCCAGGCTTGCTCCTGCTTTTCTCCATTTCTGTTTGACTGCTGTATATGTGCTCAGCAGGAAACAATGTGTTTAAGGCACTCGCCGGAATGTGTAATAACTTCAGCACTAGTAGTGCAGCTCTGCAGTAGCTGGGTTTGAGCAAACCATCATAAAGGCAGAAGCTGCCGCTGCTCGGCAGCGTGCACGGAGGGAGCTGCAGCAGGGCATCTCCCCGGGTGGCTCCGGAGGCACTGCCTCCCTTCCCATCCTGTCCATGGGGCTGCCTCTTGCCTTGCTCTGCAGGTCAAACAGGGCCCCTGGGAGGGAGGGCTGCCGGGGGTGTTGTGGGATTCGGAGAAGCTCTGCCAGCCGCTCTGGGAAGAGGCAGGAACAAGCTGCCATTGCCCTGTGGGGAAAGGCAGAGATTTGGTTTCAGAATGGACCCTGACAGATGGGCTCCAAAGGTGTGAGGAAGCTGGGAGGGTGCAGGGGGAGATGAGAGATGATATAGGCTTTTTTTT